TAAAAAAGTTAAACTCAAATCAAAAGATAAACATTGTTTTTTAAAAAAGTCACCAATAAATCTTAATCAAGCTCTTATGAATTAATTTAAAACAAAGAGTTAAACCAAGAGAAAAATTTTACAAAAAGATAAACAGAATTTCGAGCTAAAAAAAAAGAACTCTAACGCAAAACAAAAAAATAACAAAAAAAAAAAAAAAAAAAAAAAAAAAAAAAAAAAAAAAAAAGAAGGAAAGAAAAAAGTTAACAAATAAAAAGAAACAAAAAAAGGAAAAATAAAGAAATTTACAAACGAAGAATAAGAAGATTGGTTGTTTTATATTTTTCAACAATTTAGTTGGTAATATTTAAATGTGTAACGATTTAATTTAATTTTAATATGTAGAAGTATTTGTGTTTGCCTTTTCGTTTTGTATTTTTTGGGTTTCATCTTGTAGTTTTTGTATTTTGCCTTTTCGTTTGTGTAAGGTTTGTTTTTTATTTGTTCTTTTTTGCTAGTTATTTCTATTTTTGTTTGCTGTTGTTATTGAGTGTTTTCATATTTTTTTGTCTTATTATTTAATTTACTTTAGCTTTATCGTTGTTATTATTATTTTATTTTCTTAGCGATTTTTGGTTCATATTTGTTATTTTTATTATTATTATTTTATTTTTATACTACTTGTTATAATTAATTGGTATCACTCATTTTGATCACGAGTGACACTCATGTCATCATATTATTTGCATTATTATAGATAATATTATTATTTTTAATTATTATTGTTATAATTATTTGGTGTCACTCTTTTGATCAGGCTTCTGGTTGAGTGACACCTTCCTTTTCTAATAATTATTTATATTTATTCTTATTAGTTATATTTTATTATAACTATATTGTTTGTATCATTATAGATAATATTATTATTTTTTAACTATTATTGTCATAATTATTTGGTGTCACTCCTTTGATCAGGCTTTTGTTTTAGGGACACCTTCCTTTTCAAATAATTATTTATAATTATTCTTATTAATTATATTCGATTATAATTATATTATTTATATTTATATAGATAATAATATTATTATTATTGTTATTATATGATTATATGTAAATTTTGAAAAGGAAAATAAATATCTTGTTGTTGTTGTTGTTGTTGTTGTTGTTGTTGTTGTTGTTGTTGTTGTTGTTGTTGTTGTTGTTGTTGTTGTTGTTGTTGTTTTAGAAACGACAAATTCCGAAAAAGATCTCGGAATTTTAATCTCTGAGAATCTTAAATAAACAGTGCAATGTAGCTGTAAACAAAGCAAATACTCAGAATTCTTAAACACGTGTTCGTATCAGGAGACATTGACATTTGGAAAAAAATATGTACTGCATATTAGACCGCATTTGGAGTTTGCCATACAAGCTTGGAACCCTTACCTTAATAGTGACATAAAAAAATTGAAAAGGTACAACGCAACGCAACAAAAGTTCCTCAGGCTTTGAAAAATAAAGACTACAAAACTCAATGTAAAATCATGAAATTAACTACTCTTAAAGACAGACGGAAAAGAGGCCATCTTATTTAAAAATTACACTATTATTTATTTATAAAAATAAATATGTAATATATCAAAATATGCGTTGATCTTTTTTCTAAATAAATACAAAATTTCAATTTATTTGGTTCATAAATAGGTAAGCAGCCAGGCTTGGCCTAATTCTCCTATTCGCCAAAGCAAAAAAATATGATCCAGTTTAAAACTGGACTGCAAAAACTTAGTTTTTAAAACTTTTTCAACGACGAATTACGCATATTCTCATATTCCTTATATATATATATATATATATATATATATATATATATATATATATATATATATATATATATATATATATATATATATATATATATATATATATATATATATATATATATATATATATATATATATATATATATATATATATGTATATATATATATATATATATATATATATATATATATATATATGTATATATATATATATATGTATATATATATATATATATATATATATATATATATATATATATATATATATATATATATATATATATATATATATATATACCTGACCAGCGAGACGGGTTCAGCTTTTTAATAGTAATCTCTGACTCGCCAGTGAATGAAGATAAAAGATCCCACCTCTTTATGCTGTTACCAAAAAATATATATAGTCAGTCATTAATTACCATATTGAGATTGTTACTAACACAATGCACATACTCTCCATTTGGTTGGATCCTTTTAATTCTTGTTTGTACACCATTGTACACACCACTCATGCCCCATTGTAACCCTGCCCATAACATTTTTTATGGGAATATTCATTTCCTTCAGAATCTGCATTACCAGATCAGTACCTACTGCTGAATGGTTTTTTAATTCATAAAATCCTAAAAAGGTTTCACTAATTTCGAATTTTGTTGGTAGTTCATTATTGTTCTGAATAATGTGGACATGTCGTATAGTAATACTTAACTGATCAACTTTTGTAATGTCTTGTGTTGTTTCCAGAATCAGAGTATAAAATAGTGCTGCATTAAACTTAGATTTCGAGTTTGATCCCCACCACGTCCCTGGTAGTACCGCGCTCAACTCGTTTCTCCGCGCAGCGGCCTTGTTCGTCAAGGTTCGTGTTTCGGAGTTATAGAGTTGAGAGAGGGTTATAGCCACAAAATAAGTAGCCTCCTCGTCTGTAGTGGCCTTCTCGGCCTTGAGGAGGTGAATTAAAATAAAAAAAAAAATAAAAAAAAAAGATCTCAATACCTTTAACAGTTTTTCTCCCAAACATTTTATTAGTTCATTCTGAAATGTTGGACTTAAATATCTAATTGAACCAGATGACATGTCTAGTATCTGTTTCATAACATCATCATAATTGGCATATAATTGAACTTGTGGTAGAAAGTTTCCATTTAGTCGTCCAAAAATTCTTCTGCATTTTTATCGATGGTTTCATTTCATGTACTCACATGTTTCAATGTGTTGTTGAAAAAACTTTGTGTTTTTATGCGTGAGGACAAATTTATCTAATCTCTTATACCAGAACGCCATTGACTATTGATATTTGAGAACAGCCAACAAGGTTCACAATGCAGCATCCAAAACAGTGGAATAGCAGAGCATCATGCGTGGTATTGGACCATATCTTGCTATAGAATAGTAATAAGTTTTACTAAAACATCTAATTTGTTGGGCAGGATCTTTAGAAAACAGTCCTTTTGGTCTATGGGGTGAACGATTTATTATTGATCTCTTTTTTCATAAAAAATGTTTTGATTTTGATATTGCCCAAGATCAGTTGTAATATTTAAGTCATTTCTTTTTGTTTGAATAATATAGACACTTTGTACTTCTGTTAATACTTTCCTATTGGTCTCTTGACTTTCTTCTAAAGCATCCGCTAATTCAATGTCATCATCATGCCCCTGCTTGACCATTGTCATCATCATTGTTGTCTGATGTTGACATATTTGCAACACTTTCATATTTTGCTAATTTTTTCAATTCATCTTCTTTTTGATTTTTAAGTTTTCTTTCATATGCTCCATTCATCGTTTTTGATTTTTTTAAACTATCCATTTTTAAGTAGGGTTAAATACAATTATTTTTTTATAACTTACAAAATCTGTCTACAAATGCTCAAACAGGATACGCTATAAAAATGTAGGTGCAAAAAGTTAATTTTGATTAAAAGTTATTAACTTCCGTTACAGTGGCTACGGTTACGGATGTCAATAATTTAATATCTAATTTTAGCAAGATGCTGTGACTACAGTTGTTCACTTAAATCTAATTTTGACATAATTTTTGAAAAATGTTGAAGTAATTTAGGGAAAAGGGTCCTTGGCTAAAAGCCCTCTGTCTGTGTGGCCCCCTAGGCATTGCCTACTTCTGCTATATGGTCGCTACGCCACTGGCCTCGAAGTATCGCTTGTGTAATAGCTGCGAAGGGTTATGCAACCAAATATTAATTTCGAACATGCTGCGATAGCTACAGGACATTGAATGTAAAAAAAATTTTAATCAAGCACTCTTTAAGATTAATTTGCAAATATAAACAGTACAATCAAGTATCGGAAAGCCGTTTATTATTTAAATCCACAGATGTGTACTTGCGGTATGACATCACATGTTATGCGAATACTTCGCGGTATATTTTTAACCTGAAAAAGCGCTTAATTCTTCAAGAGTTTTAGCATTTTTAATATTTAAGCAAAGCAACAACAACAACAACCTATTTATTTCCCATTTATAATCATTTTAACAATAATAATAGTAATAATTATAAAAATAAAACTAAAAACAGTAACAATTAAAAATTGTAATAAGAATTATAAAAGTATAATAAGATAAATAGTCTATTTTTTATTTGTTGTTATTAAAAATTAATATTTAATTCTATAATAATAGTAACTGTTATTATATTATAATAGTTACTAATATTATTAGTTAATAATAGTAAATTCTAACAAAAACAACAAATAAAAAAATAAAAAATTATATAATAGTAATAGTTATAATTATATTATTTTGTAGAATAAGTTAATGGTTTATTAGCACTCCTAAAGAAGTCTGATCAAAGGAATGACATCAGTTCATAAATATGACTAATAATAAGCATATAGATTTAAATAATAATCATGTAGAAATTATAATTTGTAGATATTATTAAAAAAGGAAAAAATGTTGGAGTAATAGTAAGGAAATTAAAGTATAGTTTATCAATGACAAATAACAATGTCAAGAAGCTAGAATAAAAAATTTTCATTTTTTTTAAATGATTTTGTTTAAGTTAAGGAAAAGATAATAAAGGAGTTTAAAATTTTATTTTTTGGAACTCATTTACAGCACAAAAAGCTCCTGTTTCATTCACACAAGAACTGATACACAGTAGTTCAAAAACTGAGTTTACTTCTGAGTTTTAAAAGATGTCACATTAAGTTTTCCATTAAATATACTTCTAGTAAAGTATAAATGTCTTCTTTCTGTTTCTGAAAAAGGATGAGGGTAAGTTTTTGTTTAGAGACTCAAATACAAAAAGAAAATAAGCAAACTTTACTAGCACTGGAAAAGGTTTATAGGATTTTTCACTGGAAAGGTTTATAGGTTTTTTCACCAGAATGGTTTAAAGGTTAAGTTTTTTGAAAAACTCTGATGTATCTGATTTAAAAGGCTGAAAGTTCATTACTCTAATAGATTGACACTGAGGTGTAGTGACTTGTTAATATGATCTAAATTTGACCTTAAACCTGACCACAGTATACAGAGATGAGAATAATGCATACTAAATATTCTTACTGTAAAATTTTTGACATATAAAAGAGTTATTAAAAGCATACCATTAAGCTGATTTGGATTTGGGGACTTTGTTTTGAGTGAATTCCATGAAATATTTTAGTTAACTCGTAAACCAAAATATTTAATAACCCTCAAAGAATGTTAAAACTGAACTAATTTTATACTTTAAGGATAATGTTAGAGAAAAAGAGAGAGGACCAAGAACACAACAAAGGCTTTGCTAAATACTGTTTAATTTTTTTCTGCATTTTAATTTTAACAGTTAATATTAAAATAATTTATTAACAATTTTAAACATTTTGTGATTTTTTTAACAAAAAATTTATATATAAAATATATAAATTTTTAAATATATATATTATATATATGTATGTATATATATATATATATATATATATATATATATATATATATATATATATATATATATATATATATATATATATATATATATATGTATATATATATATATTCAATAAAATTATAAGTATAAGTTATATAAATATAATTAAAATTATAAATATAATATGTTTACATACTGAAATAGCCTGTTGCTGGGGGATTTAGTACATTCATCAAGTAAATATATAGGTAGAACATGCTTCTTTTCGTTATTCTTCTTATTTTTGTTATTTAAAGCCATGGAATAAAGTAACTAAAATAGGTTAGCAAATGTATCTATAAATACTACTCTGGTGTGCTTAATACAAAGAATGGGGGAATTTAAGGGGTGGAAAGAACTTTTTTCCAGATTTGATAGTTGAGAGTCTAATAAAAAGGTGGATAGGAAATTTTTACAGCACGCAAATAAAATAATTTGATTTTAATGTGGCTTGCCATTAAGTGTGCGATTTTTAATAGCTGTTTCATCATAATTTCACTAGGATTTAATATGCTCATATAAGTTTTATACTATGGTGAGAAATAAACAAAAACCTATTTTTTGACAAATCAAAATTTACAAGATTTTGTTTTAGGTCAACAACTTTTAAAGGATGATTACACTGAAAGTTTTTTTTTTATATTTCAATGACTGATATATACATTTTCTGATTTATTTTTTTTAGTTTTGATATGTATTTTGTTGATGCAAGTAAAAATTAATAAATGAGGGGATGTTTATTAATTTCCAAAAATTAATAAACATCCTCTTTTGTGTATCAAATACCTAAGAGTATAGTGAATAGTGATTGCACCTTTGAAAAAAAAATGCTTTATATAAAACCCCAATTTAGTTGGGTAGAAAGTTTGTAAACCTTTAATGGTAATTATCCTAGTAGTCTTTGTATTTTATTTCTTATTAATAATGAGAAAAAATTTATAATTTAGCACAACATGGAAAATTTGAAAAGTATTGAAGTTGTAATTCAAAAGATGAAAGTTCTCAGCAATGGCAGTTTCTGTGGAAATGAATTTAAAAACAATGAGTTTCATAAATTATGTTCAAAAAGTTACTCATGTCACGATTTTCTTAACAAGAGTGTTTTAAGTATTATGGAGTCAAGACTTGAACAAGTAAAGCAAACACCAGATTTATCATTTGTCAAAGTCAATGAAATTTTAAAAGTTTGTGACTGTCATGAAGATAGTAAATTTGATCCTTTGCTCTGTTTAAAAGATTTGTGCTATCGTTTTATTGTAACATGTTTAAATACTTTAGTTAACTTACATGATATAATCAAATCAGATGATATGTATAAAAATGAAACTGATATATTAGGTATAAATGATCAAAAAGTTATCAAAGATATTTGTAATTTAGTCATTGCTTTTGGTATATTGCCTAATTTACTTGATGGTGTTGGTTTACCAGTTAAAAGCAATCATCGCCTATATATTAGTAAACATCCTAGAAAACTTTTTCTTGTTTTGAAGATATTTATTTTTATTTTACAAAATGAGTTTTTAATGGGCATTTTATTGCCTATTTTGCGAAGTGATCTCCTAGCTTCATTAATTCAGCTTTCCTACAAACCTTCAAAAAACAAGTTTCTAAATTGCCCATGCTTAACAAATAGAGTTATATGCCAATGTTGCAGTGATATCTGTGAGCATGAGAAAGTCTGGTGTCAACAGAAACTTTTTTATTTCTTAAATTGTTCACCTCTGCCATTAATTGTTCGAGAACTTTTAGTATTGCAAAGATCAGAAACGGGAGGAAAGAGACCTAAGTATGAATGGTATAAAAATGCAATTGGTGATTTAATATCACAATGCTTGATGAGAAAAAATGGTGTGAATGCTGTTCTAACTGCTATTCTCCAAAATTGTGATCAAGGTTAATTTACTTTTATAGATAGAATGTTTTATTTTTTACTAATCTAGTGACATAAATAAATTATAAAGAATTAATACAAGTTTTTTGTTGTTGCAAGTTTTTTTAAAGTCATTTATATGCAATATGATAACAAAAAGGGTAAGTTCATTAAACTTTATAAACTCATTAAATTCTTTATAAAATTGATTAAATGTTATAAACTCAAAAAAAAAAAAAAAAAAGTTTTTACATAATAGTTAAAGTAGAAAGTTGTAAAATTAAACTAATAATGTTTGTCAAGTTTCCTGTGAGGACGCTTTCCAAAAGATTATGGTGATAGGGGCCTGGAACAAAAATACCCCAAAATTAGTAAAAGTTTTGCATACTCATAACTTTTTAATTTTAAAAGATTTTTGAATAAAATTTGAAATGAATTTTAACTTAAGATAATAAACTAGATTTTACCAACTCACTGCCCTCATGTTTGGGAATCGGAGCAAATATTATTGGGTATTTTTTGTTTTCAGGCTTCCATCGCTGAAATTTTGTACAAAGATTCCTCATTTGATAAATAAACATACTTAAGTTTGAAGTTTGCAAAATGCCTGTAAATGTCATATCTATATATGACACTTACATATATAGATATGACACGTGATGTTGGCTATTTAGAGCTCTTGTAACACTTTTTTTTATTTATTCAGGTGAAATTACAGTGTAGTAAGAAAAATATGTCAAAACTTTTTTTTATGTTTTTGAAATAAAAGAATATTTTTGTTTCACTTCAAAATCTTTTTAGAGAAGATTTACAGTCATGGCCATAAATATGAGAACAATGATAAATTTTCTATTGTTTCATGATTCTTCATCATGTAAAGACAATTAGATAATAATTACAGTTGTTAGATAATAATTGTTAGATTATTGTTGTTAGATAATAGTTGTTAGATAATAGTTACAGTTGTTTTCAAACCTTATAACATACTTTCAAACCTTATAATGCAGAGCCATGTTTTCCGACGAATCAACATTTTCCCAGTTTACCTCTTACACTAGGCATGTTAGATGACCAGTCAATCAGCGCTACAATATCAGTTATGTAGTCCCTACTGTAAAACAGGCTCCAACTACGATAATTTGGTGCTGCTTTAACGGAGCAGGCCGGGGCGGTATCTGGTTTAAGAATACCACCATTAATGGAGCAGTGTATCTCAATATCCTTAAAGAAAAGCTACCTCAGCATATGGCTGGTAGCAACTGCACCACTTTCCAGCATGGAAAATGGTGCACCACTTTCCAGCATGGAGCTCCCTGCCACCGCACTGGAGCAGTTAGCCAATGGCTATTGGATCAACACATCAATGTCTTAGGACCTTGGCCTGGCTCCAGCCCGGACCTTAATCCAATAGAAAATTTATGGATGATGATGACGCGGAAAGTTGCTACGAAGAATCCTAGTTCCAAAAACACCCTTAAAAAAGGGATCATGACTGTTTGGGCTCAAGAAATAATGCTGGAATATTGCCAAAAATTAGTTGATTCAATGCCTGAGAGGATAAGGGCTGTGATGGTGGATGATGGTGGGCTGCCAACAAAGGGCAGCCCACCAAATATTGACTTTTGAGGCAATCACACCTTTAAGGTACTTTTTTACTAATAATTAAATCATATTTTATAATTAAAGCACAAACTAATTGTTATTGGTGTTAACTGCTTGTTATATTCAGGTCCTAAAAGCCATACTATAAAAAAATGCAGCGTTCTCATATTTATGGCCACGACTGTATATATAGCTTATTAATTCAAGCATATATGTTGTATAAATTAATATTCTTTTCACACATTGGGTATGCTTTGGATATATTTTTTAGTCAAAATTGGTAATAGTTTGCTTTTTTTGTATACTTTAGCATGACTTGTAATAATATTGTTAACTTTTTAGATAAGTTAACTCCAGTACAGATAAACACACTTGGTAAAGTTCTTGCAAAAGTGCCTAGGCAAATTGAAACTAAAGAAGCATATTACAGTATTATCATTCCTCAAGTAAATTCTTTTTAAGTATGTTTAATTACATTTAAAAAATGTGAAAACTTTTATGTCAACCTAATATTTTTTATTCACTGTTATATATATATATATATATATATATATATATATATATATATATATATATATATATATATATATATATATATATATATATATATATATATATATATATATATATATATATATATATATATATATATATATATATATATATATATATATATATATATATATATATATATATATATATATATATATATATTATATATATATTATATATATATATATATATATATAATATATATATATATATATATATATATATATATATATATATATATATATATATATATATATATATATATATATATATATATAACAGTGCATAAAAATTATTAGGTTTTTGAAATAAAAGAATATTTTTGTTTCACTTCAAAATCTTTTTAGAGAAGATTTTTAGAGAATATATATATATTGTTATATATATATATACATATATTGTTATATATATATATATATATATATATATATATATATATATATATATATATATATATATATATATATATATATATATATATATATATATATATAACAGTGCATATATATATATATATATATATTATATATATATATATATATATATATATATATATATATATATATATATATATGTATATTATATATATATATATATATATATATATATATATATATATACTACTGTGATCAAAAAGTAAGGTGAATTTTTTTATAAAATGAAAAATCTTTATTTATTCTTCCAAATCTGTTTCGTCCCCCTCAAAATAATCCCCCCCGGCCTCAATGCACTTTTGCCAACGTTTTTTCCAGTCTTCGAAGCATGCCGAAAAGTCCTCGGTAGGGATAGCCTTCAATGTGCGTGCCGATTCATGTTGGATCTCTTCAATGGACTCAAAACGATTTCCCCGGAGTGGTCTCTTGAGCTTTGGGAACAGCCAGAAGTCACACGGTGCTAAGTCGGGCGAATACGGTGGTTGTGGAGCAACATGGGTAGAGTTTTTGGCGAAAAACTCACGAAGAACCAGTGCTGTGTGCGAAGGCACATTATCGTGGTGCAAAATCCAAGAGTTATTGGCCCATAATTCCGGTCTCTTTTTGCGAATAGCTTCACGTAAACGTCGCATAACGCTTAAATAATATTCCTTGTTGACAGTTTGGCCAGTTGGAAGGAATTCGTAGTGCACGACACCACAATAATCAAAGAAAACAGTCAACATGACCTTGATTTTTGAGTGACTTTGACGTGGTTGCTTCGGTCTCGGCTCGCCTTTTTCACAGTATTCACTCGATTGGTCGGTTGTTTCAGGGTTGTATGCGTAGACCCAAGTCTCATCGCCAGTAATAATTTGTTTGTAGACGTCATGATAGTCAGAAAGCATTGCTTCACACGTTTTAACGCGACGCTCTTTTTCAAAGAAATTGAGAAATTTCGGCACCAAACGTGATTTGAGTCTTCTGAGGCCCAAATGATCTTTCAAAATCGCTTGCACTGACCCAAATGATATTCCAACCATGTCAACAAGGTCTCGAATGGTTAACCGACGATTTGCAAGCACCAATTCTTTGATTTTGTTGATGTGGCAATCATCAATCGAAGTCGATGGTCGTCCAGAGCGTTCCAAGTCATCAACACGTTCTCGGCCTTCTTTAAAGTCTTTGTACCACTTGTAAACATTTTTTTGAGACATAGTCTCTTCACCGAAGGCCTTTTGCAACATTTGATACGTTTCAGCAGCAGAAATATCATTCCGCAAACAAAATTTAATAGCACTTCTTTGCTCAACAAAATTAGACATCGTGAAAATCGCCGAATGCACTTTTGGTACTTCAGAAACAAGCGTAAACAAAAAAAAAATAATTATGAGTTTGACATGTAATTTGGCGCAAATGTTAATGACATTCCTACCAACTTAAAAATAAAAAAGATTGGACGATTCGAATAAGACGGGAAGTTCAAATTAAAAATTCACCTTACTTTTTGATCACAGTAGTATATATATATATATATATATATATATATATATGTATATATATATATATATATATATATATATATATATATATATATATATATATATATATATATATATATATATATATATATATATATAATATATATATATATATATATATATATATATATATATATAACAGTGCATAAAAATTATTAGGTTTTTGAAATAAAAGAATATTTTTGTTTCACTTCAAAATCTTTTTAGAGAAGATTTTTAGAGAAGAAGAAAAAAAAAGGTCACCCCGCAATTCGAATTAACTTTATTCATTTATTTAATCTTTTTACTGCTACTACTAATATGTGTGGCCTTCCTGCAAATCTTTTAAAACTTGTATAGACTATAAGTGCTTAGAAACATTTTGGAAAATAAAAGAATATTTTAGAAGACTCTAGAACAATTTAAAACATCCTGGAACAATTTAGAACATTCTAGAACAATTTAAAATATTTTGGAACATTCTAGAACAATTTAGAACATTCTGGAATATTCTAGAATATTTTTGACTATATATAACTGCTCATCTAATTTTATAGTTATTACAGAAGCAACACATGGCATTGTACAAGTCTAGCGATAGTAGCATTCAGAAGAACAAGGATGTCTGGACCAATAATCTGGTAAAATTTGAAGACTCATATAAGAAGAAGAATCTTCCCTTTAAAAGAATATTGACTGGAAGAAAAGTGGAAAATGCCTCTCCAAAAGCAAATTATTGGTCGCTACCATTTTCTGGGACCAAAACTCAATGGAAAAAAGAAGCGAATAATGGAAATTTCCAATAAAGTCACCAAATTGTGGAAGAATAAACTGAATTTTTCTCATGTATCTGATCAATAGATGCAAGCAAAACTTGATAAAATACTGAAATGTTATGATGAATGTGTCAATCGGGGAAGCTAAGAACCCCTTGATGAAATTGTTGATATTACTAAAGTGGATGAAACATGGTTATATTCCGAGGACAAGCGATTGTACCATCTCCAAGTGGAAAGCAAAGGAACAGTGGGATACTCTACAGGCCAAGCGGCCAGTAAAGAAACAATCCATCCCTCTAAAAGACAAAAACTTTCTAATGAGTCATCCAACTTGTCATCTTACTATCCTGGTTTTAGTGATTCTGACTCTGAGGCTGACGACAGTAAATATAAAAACAATAAAAAAGAAGATGAGACAACTCCTACACCAAGCAGAAAACATCATAAAAGCAAAATTGCAGTCAACTTGGTGACCTCCACAAGAGCATCAACAAACAAAGCTGCTAACATATGCAAACAATCAGCTTGTGAAGTCATTGACATCTTAACTCTATGTCAATCAGCTAATTATAAGTCAACAATCAAGAAGGTAATCAAGCTGAAGGAAGAAATGATTGAAGAGTTGCATATGGAAGGTTGGTCTTTACACTTTGATGGCAAGCACATCGGTAGAATGGGTTATCAAGTGGTTGTCCTTAAAAATGAAAGAAGAGAAATCAAATTGGGTGTCCTTGGCTTGGTAGATGGCAGGGCTTTAATTATTGCTCAAGGAATTTCTAAAGTTCTCAATGAATTTCACCTATTGAATTCAATACAGATGATTGTTTCAGATAATACCAGCAGGCTTGGATAGGAATAACTTGCAATCGAGCGCTATTGTTGACCACGCAAATAGTTTTATTTTTTGATAACTTATTGTTTTTTATATGTTTTGATGATTTAAACATTTCAGAAATGCGCTGAATGTAGAAATGCTAAGCTAAACTAAAACTAGAAAAAAAAGTTATCGAAAAAAATATTCCTAACAAAAAAAGAAAAGAAAAAAAAATTATTAGAAAAAGAAATTATATAAGCACTAAAATGAGAAAAAAATTGAACTCGAAGCGAAACATTTTGTTACATATTTAATTGAAATAAATGTTATTAAAACTTATTTTTTTTAACGTTTTATTAATGTTATGCAAAACGCTTTTAAATTAAGTAATAAATTACTTCTAATGATTGTTTAATAAATGATCAAATTTTATCAAATTTATTAAAAAGTGTTGTATATAATGTTGTATGTAATTTTTAATAATTTCAAGCTTTAATTAGTAAGTTTAGTTAAAAAAAAGGGTTTAAACTTTTTTTATAGGGGAAAAAAATAAATAACAAAATGCGCCTGCGATTTAAATAAAATAAACCACTAGTAAGCAATTTAATTTGGGCATTACAACTTTATTAATAAGCACTTTGCATAACGAATTTAAAAGTTATTATCAAAAATTTAAACTCATTTATTCCTATCGTAATTTAAAAAAAAAAACTTTCAAAAAATATAATTTTTGTTTAAAAGATTTTTATTAATATTTTTTATTATTAAGTTTTTTGTATAATATTTTTTATTAAATAACACATGCGTTTAAGTAAACAATCATAATTAATTTTATGGTTTTATCTAAAGCCTTGCGTGAAATAAAAACTTTAGAAAAGATCAGCGATTAAAAGTTATTCATAACCTATATATTTAATAACCACTATTAAGTAGCCTCCTCGTCTGTAGTGGCCTTCTCGATCTTGAGAAGGTGAATAACAAAAAAACAAACAAAAAAAATGTATATTTATATATATATATATATATATATATATATATATATATATATATATATATATATATATATATATATATATATATATATATATATATTAGGGTGATGCAAAAAACAACTTTTTTAAAAATAGTCTCCTGCTCTTAACTAAATGTGTTCTATATAATACAAAAACACTAGGTTTAAAATTTTTTTGAATAAAAAATATTTTTAGGGGTGCCTCAAGACCCTTAAATATTTGACAGTTTTATAATGTTTTGAAAAAAAAGTTTTTTAAAAGTATGTCAACCTGGTACTCAAAAGAAGTGAAATTATATAAAAACTTTAAAAATAATAATCAATTTACATAAAAATATTTTATTTTTAGATATAAT